GAAAAAGGCATGTATAGCATTCAAAGTTTACCTCCTACTTGCAGAAAAATGAGAAGTCAAGGTTTGTTTAAGATTTAAACAGTCAAAGGCTTTTTCATTAGGAATTGTGGTTTATTTTGCAATACAATTTTTTCAACAACTTAGATGACTTCAGATCACACTCAAAGTGCTTTCTTTGACAAAGCTCTCAATTCTTTATTTTCCTTTCCCCATGCCTTTCTCTCAGAAAAATGGTGGCTACATCATTACTGTAATCTTTGCTGAGAGTTGCTTTATTTCATTAGAAAACTTAACTAGTCTTCAACTCTTGAAGATGTAATCCCATTGCTCACTGTTTGGGATCTGGAAGCAATGCAGTTTCCTAAATCTTCAAGTCTCTAAACTTCTGAATTCTATTTTCTTTGATTCTATTTTCCTTTATTTCTTATACTAGCCAAATCTTTCCTGGGATCCTCTCTTGTACTATCTTAACAAACCTAAGCAGTACAACGGATATACACAATACTAAGATTTTACAAAGCCCTCTCTTAGGGCTGCTGGTTCGTGACACTCATAATCTGTCCCCCAAATTACTGCAGGCAATATTTTTTGCCACTGACTAACACAGGTCAACACTTTCCAAGCCTTCTTATATCACTTTCCCTGTTTATCTACCCCATGATCACTAGGTATGGATTTATTTCTATTAATAATGCTTAGGATGTATTGGCTTCTTGTGTCTATATATTTGTGATTTTCTTCAATTCTGGAAAGTTCTCAGACATTATCTGGACAAATACAGGCTTCACTTCATTCTATTTCTTCTCCTTTTGAATTTTTTTTTTTTTTTTTTTTTGAGTAGGAGTCTAACTACTGTCCGGCTGTCAAGTCCGTCTCTATCCAGATATATCCACAGTTACCCAGGCTGGAGGGCAGTGACACGCTCACAGTCACTGAAGCCTCGTCCTGCTGGACTCAGGCAATCCTTCTGCCTCAGCCTTCCAAGTAGCTGGAACTACAGATGCACGCCAACATGCCCGGCTAATTTTTTGATTTATTGTAGAGATGGAGGTCTTACCAAATTGCCCAGGCTGGTCTTGAACCCGTAGGCTCAGGCAATTCTCTCACCTTGGCCTCCCAAAGTACAGGGATTATAGGCATGAGCCACTGCGCCTGGCCCTTTCTGAACTTTGATAAGATATATGTTAAACTCTATCCTCCATTTTGACATTTTCCATCTTATGTCTCTTTGGGCTGCATTCTGGATGATTTCTTCTTCTCAGATCAATAATTTTCTCCCAAACTGTGTCAAATCTGATGGGAAGCTCCTTCATAGAGTTTTAAATTTTAAGTATTATATTTTTAAGTTCTAGAAGTTTCTTTATTTTTCAAACATCTTATTGCTATTTATAGTTGCTTATTCTTTGTACATATCTTCAAACTTTCATTTTATTTTTTAAGCATATTATATTTAATTAGACTGCTGTCTCTGGCTAATGATTTAATTATCTGAAGAACTTGATTGACTACTTCTACATAGATGATTTCTCCTGGATCTCACTCACTTATGGTGCCCCATTATTTTTGTTTTTGTTTATTTTTTACTGCAATTCTTAGACATTTTTTGAGGGAAGGCTTTGAGACTTGAGATGAAGGCAAGTTCCTCCAGAGAATATTTGCATTTACTTCTGCAGGGTGTTTTGTAGGATTGCTCAAAATCAGATTCTCAGCTTGAAATACCTAGGTAGTGTGAATTCTGGCTAAAATTCTGTGTAAGCACTACTTTGCACTCCAACTCAAAAAAAAAAGTAAATCAAATATCTGATCAACTGGGAGGTCAACACTTGGTGATGGAATGGGCCTTGCATTTGTAAAAAATATCAGAAGACAGGATAATATGGTAGATTATATTGGATTCCCTTTGGGTCTCCTTTCTTTTTTTTTGAGTTGGAGTCTCACTCTGTCGCCCAGGTTGGAGTACAGTGGCATGCTCACGGCCACCACAGCCTCGACCTGCTGGGCTCAGGTGATCCTTCTGCCTCAGCCTTCCAAGTACTGGAATTACAGGCACACGCCACCACATCCAGCTAATTTATTGATTTATTGTAGAGATAAGGCCTCGCCAAGTTGCCCAGGCTGGTCTTGAACCCATGGGCTCAGGCAATCTTCTCACCTCAGCCTCCCAAAGTGCTGGGATTATAGGCGGGAGTCACTAGGTCCGGCCAACTTACTTTTTATTCTATTCTAGAAGTAAAGCATCCTCACTAAGTTAAAAATATAGAAAAGTTTAACATTAAAATCGAAAACTGATTTCAAGTCCGTTTCTTTTTTTTTTTTTTTGAGTTGGAGTCTCACTCTGTTACCCAGACTGGAGTGCAGTGGCCGCTCCCGGCCACTGCAGCCTCGACCTGCTGGGCTCCGGCGATCCTTTCGCCTCAGCCTTCCAAGTAGCTGGAACTACAGGCGTGCGTTACCACACCTGGCTAACTTTTGATTTTATTGTAGAGATGAGGTCTCGCCAAGTTGCCCAGGCGGGTCTCGAACCCACGGGCTCAGGCAATCCACTCACCTCAGCCTCCCAAAAGCACAGGATTACAGGCTGAGCCACCGAGCCCGGCTGTCAAATCCGTTTCTATCCAGATACATCCACAGTTACCAGCTTGGTTTATTTCCTTTCAGTCTTTTTCCCCCCTAAATAGGAGTTTTATATTAATTCTGAGATTAACTTGAGAAATAATTAATTAAATGTGAAGGAATATTCAGCAGCTACTAAAAGTAATTATTTATAAGTTATTTTGTAACAATATGAAGAAATTCTTTTAATGTAATACTAAACTAGGCAAAAAATACAGAGAGCAATTGGATAGGGGGCAGAGGTGAAGGACCTAGGGAAGGATGAAGGGTACAAATGGGACTATACTCTCCTGTACTGCTCATTCCCGGGCACCAGCAAGAGCCAGCCAGGTTCTACTACAGGTTGCATTATAGACCTAATGCCGACTTCTTGTAGCTGCATATGGACTGACTGACTGGCTAACAGTAGGGACCCCCGAGCCCAGATATCTCTGGAACATCAAGTGGAGAGACACCATTTTCTTGCCCTTTATAAAGACATAATAAAAATAGTAGATGGCTCAGTTCATGTCTTATCATGAGAATTATACACAATTTGCTTCCAGTTTAACATAAGCTTAATTATGGACAATAAACTGCTACCTAAGGAGATTCTAATATTAATTTCTAACTCCCCTTTCCCAATTAACTAAGGAACAAGTGGATACCCTTAACCAGGTACCATTAAGGTAAGAGTCAATGCCTAGTGCTTTTGCTCAGATGTCAATGAGCATGTCTATGTGTCCCTCACCGTCTCCAGTCATACCCCCAGACCTTTGTGGTATACTGTGTGACTGTTATCCTATGCCAGGGCCTTGCACTGGCCTCTCTCTGCTTTTGCACTTGCCCAGAGTTTACTATGAAAATGGAGACATTAATTGTGTGGTTAAGAAATTTTGCATTCCCCCAATACCTTCCACAAAAGGGGTCTAGTTACTAATGCTCAGTTTTTATTTGTGTTTGTTATCTGCCTCTGTGATCAGTCCACAGAGTTGGGGTTTTAAGCTCCGCTTCTGGTATGAAGAGAGTAACTTCTAGATTGGGATTAGGTCTAAAGTGAACATGGACCCTCTGTCCCCCATCATATGGGGAGGTGGATATGGTACTTGCTGTGTAAGAGGATTAAACTTCTCTCTTGAGATTTACTCACTGCTGTGTGAGTGATAAAATTTGTTGATCCACTCTTTTGTTCAATACTGCATCCTAGCACCTAAGCTAAAGCTTGTCTCCTAGTAGGTGCTTTATAAACACACTTTGACTAACTGACAGGCAGAAAGTTTAGTCTAGACATTTTTTTCTAACAAATTAGCGAACCACACAAACGTATTTTTAAATATTTATACATTTTTATGCATGGTGTTTTTGTTCTTTTGTGGGACTTAGCACATTTGGGTTCACAATGAAGACATTTTGAGTCATCATCTCATCTCAGCAACTCAACCATGAGGGCAGAAGCCCACATACCTCTCTTCATACACCTCGCAGGTTAGCACAATGCCATGTACAGTGCTGGCGTTCAATAAGGTGATTGGTTGACCAATTAAATGAACATGTGAATGCTGGGTCCATGAAATCATAAACACTTACAATTTCACAGCTGGTGGGAACAACTGATATTGTCCACTGCCTCAAGATGAGAAATACTCCGAGAGGGTTAGCCAATACCTTTCAAATGCAGTGGGTTATGGCCCACAAAGAAGGCTAGTCTCTCTTGAGGTCAAATGTAAGCTTGTTCTCACTTATTTGTAAGCTCCATCATACCCCAGCCCACCCCCATAGAATAGGTTCACATTCAGGAGTGATCAGGCCTGTGGCTATGGAACAGAGTAAAGATGGCAAGACCACCACCCCAGTATAATACCCTGGGCTTCACCACAGTCAATGAAGCACATTTATACTTAGTGACCATAGAAAGCTGATCATATTTTTGAATAATTTATAACATAGGAAGAAAGGTCTCTGAAAGTAGCTTCCAGGGAGTGTCCCAACTTAATGGAATGAGATACTGTGCATTTTTCCCAGACCTCTGGTTTCCAGCCAAGACTTTAGAGAAAAGGTAATGGGCTATGCCGGCACGTTGACTCACACCTGTAATCCCAGCACTTTGGGAGGCGGAGGTGAGAGGAATGCCCAAGCTCACAGGTTCAAGACCAACCTGAGCAATACGACGAGACCTCATCTCTACAATAAAAATTTTAAAATTAGCCAGGCGTGGTGGCATATACCTGTGCTTCCAGCTACTTGGAAGGCTGAGGCAGAAGTTTCACCAGCAGGTCGAGGCTGTGGTGGCCATGAGCGTACCACTGCACTCCAGTCTGGGTGACAGAGTAGACTTCGACTCAAAAAAAAAAAAAAAAAGTTAATGGGCACAGCTGCCAGAACCTGACACAGTCTCTGTTTCTCCGCAGTTGCGAGTCTTCAAGCTGGCAAAGTCCTGGCCCACCTTAAATACACTCATCAAGATCATCGGAAACTCAGTGGGGGCACTGGGGAACCTCACCATGATCCTGGCCATCATTGTCTTTGTCTTCGCTCTGGTTGGCAAGCAGCTCCTAGGGGAAGACTACCGCAAAAACAAGGAAACGATCGCGGGGCCTGGTGAAGAATGGCCCCGCTGGCACATGTACGACTTCTTCCACTCCTTCCTCATCGTCTTCCGTATCCTCTGTGGAGAGTGGATTGAGAACATGTGGGCCTGCATGGAAGTCAGCCAGAAATCCATATGCCTCGTTCTTTTCTTGACGGTGATGGTACTGGGGAACCTAGTGGTGAGTGGTGAGCCCCGCTGGGGGCGCTGTCTTGTGGACATCAGAGGAGGCTTCTGGATTATCCTCAAAAGCCTTGCCATTGTGTATCTCTATGCCCAGATTGTACCTCCCTGGTTGAAAAATCTGCAAACTTTTCAAAGTCATGTGGGAGCCATTATGAGTCGTTTATCTTGAGAGGCAGCCTGACTTGCAGGAATGAGAACATATGATTAAAAAGAAAAGACCTGGTGTAGAATACCAGCTCCACCATTTTCTAGGTGGGTGACCCAGGGCAAGAGACTTAATCTCCTCAAGCTCTAATTTCCTAAAATCAAGAAAATAGTGCATACTCCTGGGTTCACTGGGAGATTTAAATTACAGGAGATGACATATGCTAATTGTCTAGTGTAATGTCAGGGCTGCAGCAGGAGCTCAATAAATGGTAGCTGTTAGTTGTGAAAGGAAACATTTCCTTCCCCATTCTAGGGGAACTCAGAGAAGTAAGAGCTGACTGATTGCTCCAAGCTGCACAAATCCTAGTTAGGAATGGAACGGGGGTCCTGGGACAAGATGAAAGAGAAGCTGGGTCACCAATAACATCCAAGTCCACAACAATAATCACACAATCTACTCCCAGGTTTAGGGAGAATCCCTCTGGAGATCTGCATGTCAATGAGTCCCAACACCCTTCTCTGTCCGGCCTTTCCCCTCCTCCCCGTGCTGCCTCCTCCCCCGCCTTCACCTTACCTCCTCCCACCGGGTCCTGGGAGTCCTTGCCCTCCTGGCACTGGCTGGCTGTGTGGGAGGATGCAGTCTTCCAGAAACTCCTTTCTTATTGCCCTGGATGTCAACCAACTTGGGTTCTTTTCTCATGAGAATTTTATAGTTAGGAGAAAACTAAAGTGGAGTCAAATTCCTTTCTTCCAGACTGAGCTGATCACCCCTGCAGAGCCTCACACAGGAAGCTTGTCTCTCTGAGCACTTCTATATTCTTTATATCATTTCATCTTCAGAACCGCTCTGAGAGGTAGGGAGTCCCCACTCCCTGCTCACAAGTGAAGAACATGAAGTTGAAAGCACTGAGGAGATGTGCCCAGAATCCCAGAGTCGGGAATAGAATCCAGAGCTTGGGCAGATGAGGATGATCTCAGGGCAGGCCTGACCCTGCTTCTCTCTGTTGTCCCTGAATGTCCCCTTGCTCAGCTGGGTGATCCTCCACTATGGTGGAGAATGTGCTTCCAAGCCTCGTCCACATGAGGCAGGTCACTCTGGGACATCCCCAAGGCTCTCCTCAGCTGTTCACAGAATGTCCATCCTCTCAGGAGGAAAAGCATCCTGGTGGGCAGGGAGAGGTCCAGGCTGTGACTGTTCTGCCATCCAGCTGCTGACCTGGTGGGCCGAGGTGGGACTCAGCTAATTGATTGACCTATCCTCCCTTCCTTTCCTTCCCTTCAGGTTCTTAACCTGTTCATCGCGCTGCTGTTGAACTCTTTCAGCGCCGACAACCTCACAGCCCCAGAGGAAGATGGGGAGGTGAACAATCTGCAGGTAGCCCTGGCACGGATTCAGGTGTTTGGCCATCATGCCAGACAGGCCCTTTGCAGCTTCTTCAGCAGACCCTGCCAGTTTCCCCGGCCTAAGGCGGGGCCAGACCTGGTGGTGAAACTCCCACTCTCCAGCTCCAAAGCTGAGAACCACATTGCTGTCAACATCACTAGGGAGAGCGCTGGAGGGCTCCCAGCTCCCGTAGGCCCCAGAGATGAGCATGGTGACTTCATCAACGATTCTAATGTGTGGGTCTCTGTGCCTATTGCTGAGGGTGAATCTGATCTCGAAGACTTGGAGGATGATGGTGAGGAGGATGCTCAGAGCTCCCAACAGGAGGTGATCCCCAAAGGACAGGTAAGAGTTCTCCCCATGGGATGGCCACAGAAAGTGGGGAGGGGCCTCGGGGGTAGAGTGACCAGGGCAGAAGGGAAATTATGATAAAGAGGTTTTCCAACATAAGGACTGATACAGCCTTGAAGAGGACCTGGCAAAAAAGCCATAGGAGACCTTGAGGTAAAGAAACTTAAACCACGCCAGCTTTCCAGAGGAGGTAGCATTTGAGGAGGGTCTGGAAGAAAAGGTCAGAATTCTCCAGGCAGGTCAACAGGGAGCAGAGACAGTAGTTGAGCAACAGACCACTTCGATATACTTGGAGATTGTCTTTCCCATAGCTGCCTCATTCTCTCAATCCAAGCCAGGCTCTACGCATGAGATGCTAATGAGTTTCCTCTAAGAACAGGATATTGTCCAAGAGCAAGGCTTATCTCATCTTCACCAGCGTCCTAAGAAATCCTGATTATTACATGACTCATTTAGCCAGCTTTTCCCAAGTGATATCATAGGAAAATGACACTTATTCCTTTTGACATCAACACATTTAAAGCACATTGAAACCTTTTGATAATATATATTTTTTAATATTTTGCACTGTTCCTTACTGCAAAATAAGGAATTGGTATATCAGTCCTCGTTAACCTCTTCTCAATGATTCAGGACATGAATTTCTGCACACCGTGGCAAGGTAGAGATTCCTGTGGGGTCTCAGGGACACACAGAGCTACTGACCAGTTCACTAAGTGGCCTCGGAAAGCTGTGCTTTGAGTCTATAGCTCTTCTTCCCTGCAGCTGTCACTTGTGTTCCAGCAGCTGCTATTATCAGCTGCCATATTTTACATGCCTTTGTCTGGGTGACAGCCGAGGGCAGGGCATCACCATCCCCGGGGTAAAGGACATGAACTCTGTGACAGCTATCTTCCATTGTGAAGCACTTTCAGTTACTTTAGGGGCTCTTGGGGAGCTCCAGATGGCCAAATTCACTACCAGGCTGGCCTCTGGACAAGGAATAATGGTCATAGCTAACATTTATTGAGCCAAGCACATCATGCAAAGCATTTTACAAGCACTAACATATTTAGTCATCAACGTAACCCCAATGGGGTAGATCTTGCCTTCTCCGTTTTGCAGATGGGGAAAATGAAGATCAGAGAGGTTAAATAACTTACCTAAGGTAATGTATCTTATAAGTGATGGAGCCAAGGTCCATCTGACTATATTCCTTGTGCTCAGTTGACACAAGTATATTTGTGCATGTATGTACGAGGGGTGAGCCCCTGAAAAAATGGAATTAATTTTTGGAGGGCAGACCCCTTGTAGTACAGGTTTCCCTAACTTAGAAAGCGTTTTAGGAACCCATCAGCATCAGTATACCAGCTAACGTTAGTTGCGAGAGGCTGTGTTAGGTTTCAGGGAATTTTTTTTTTTTTTTTTTGAGTCTTTTAGTGTGTTTGCCCATTTCACGATGGGTGATTTATCACCACACCTCTGCCCACACTACGCTGAGTATTCAGCACTTTTTGACCAAAAATGGCTTGACCCCATACCCCACCATTCCTATTCACCCTATTTTGCCCTGAGCATCTTTTTTGTATGTTTGTTTCCCTGCATGAAAAAAGTCCTCAAAGGGAAATGTTTTACCAGTGTGGAAGAGGTGAAACAAAAGATGTCAGAAGCACTAAAAGGCATCAAAACTGACAAGTCCAAAAACTGTTTTGAGCAGTGGAAAAAATATCTCGATAGGTGTATTGCCTCAGCGGAGAGTACTTTGAAGGTGACTGAAGTTTAATCATGTAAGAATAAATACACAATTTTAATAAATAAATTGTGGTTTTTGAGGGGTCCCTCCTCGTATATTAGTTGCACACATGAGGTGCTTGGCTCTAGCCGCTTATGATGTGCAAGGTCCCTTCAAACTTAGAACCGATCATCTACGGGTGGGGCCAGGTACCCAGTTGAGACTCCCCTCTCCCTGGCAGGAGCAGCTACAGCAAGTCGGGAGGTCTGAAGACCACCTGACACTCAGGAGCCCAAGCTCTGGAACGTCATCTGAGGATCTGGCCCCACACCTGGGTGAGAAGTGGAAAGATGAGGCTGTTCCTCAGACCCCTGCAGAGGTAGGTATGTGAGCTTCCCTGAAAGGTTGGACAGCCAGCCAGACACTGACCAATGGGCTGGTGGGTGCTGGAGGGTGGGAGTTGGGCTGGGGTATTCCGGACTGTATTCAACCACGTAAACTAATTCCTCATCCTAAGAATGTATGAATCTCTGGCATGATTTCAACTGTCTCTATACCATTGCCACAATCTCACTCTAGGCTGGATGTAGGGATAGGAAGAAAGAGTGAGGATCCACAGGCTGTAGGACCTAAGACCAATTCCCCAACCTCTTTATCTATAAAACTGAATGGTAATGCCTACTTGGTAGAAATGTTATAAGGCTTAAATGAGATGCTGCTTGTCAAATGTTTAGCTTCTGCCTGAAACAAAGTGCCCAGAAAATGACAGCCAAGGAAAAAGGAAACAAAAGACAATGCACAAAGAAAGTCAAATATCTTTCAGAGCCCACAGATCAGAGTTGGAGGTGCTCCTGATAAGGAAACCTTCCCTTGTGACTCCCCTGCATTCTTTTGTCCGCATCATTTTACTTTACCCAAAACCAGAAAGGGGCTGGGGAGAGGCTGTCTAGAGGTGAGTAGTGTACTGAGAGCCATACAGAGACAGAGTGGGAAGATTTTGGGTTTGAAGTTGGCTCCTGAGAGGTAAAAATAAAATTTGTGGTTTCAATAAAATCTTAAGGATAAAAGCTACAGGGAAAGAGATGTCTACAAAGATTTGGCAACTTTAATACCACTATTTTAAACTCCAAAGTTTAGTTTGACACCTAGCTGCTGAGTGCTGACTATGTGACAGGCACTGGGCTTGGCAGGAAGATATCATTCATCCCCAAAGTTATCAAGACCTTCAGCTTGAGGAATGTCAGCTATGGCTATATACCCCAGGCAAGGCTGACTACAGCAGGCTAAGATAACAAGGTGGGCTGAGATGGAATTTGGGGGTCACGGGTGAACATAAGCCACTTGGTTCCCACTAGGTGAGGGAGTTGTCACATTCTATATGTGGATGTCATATTCCCTTCTAAGCAGGCTAGTTTTCTTTAGTCAGTGTTTTCAGTATACAACTTCTGGGTGTTGGTTTTGTTTTTGTTTTTTGTTTTTTTGTCCATGACCCTGGCTAGGCAGGAGGGGCCTGATAGTGACAGATGAGGACCCGCCCCACCATTTGGGTCCATTAGCCAAGCTATCAGGTTTACTAATATGAGAGAAGCTTCAACTCCTAATTGAATTCATCTGGAGACATTATAGGGCTGGAGCTGCCAGGAGGGCAGATTGCCCCCAGCAGCATTGCTGTGTGATTAAATATTCAAGCCCAGCAAATGCTGAGAGTCGTTATGGGTGTAATTACGGTGTCTCGGGCCATCGCCAGCACTCCATCAGGGGCCTGGGCGTTTACAGCCTCTCACAGCTAAGCCTCTGGGCCTCTAGGGAGAGCAACTGTGTTCCAGACCTCAGCTGGCAAAGCACCAAACACGGGTCCAGTTGGACCTGTGGTGACTGTGTACGATTTCCCGGGCCCCTCAGAGAGCCAAGTTCACTGCCCTGGGTTTCTGCCCTGCAGGGAGTGGATGACACAAGCTCCTCGGAGGGCAGCACAGTGGACTGCCCAGATCCTGAAGAGATCCTGAGGAAGATCCCAGAGCTAGCTGATGACCTTGAAGAACCAGACGACTGCTTCACAGAAGGTAAAGGGGCAGCTATAGACCTCCTCACACTGACATTGATTAGGGCCAGAATCCAGTTCAGCAAACACTCCACTGGGTACTCTGTGTCCAGGGCCCTGGCCTAGGGTCCACAGGAAAAAGGTCCCTTGCTGCCTCACTGCCAGGCTTGAGGGCACCAGCATCAGACACAAATGACCCAACTGGCAGCAGCCTGGCCAGGATGTCTGCATCTCATGTTATGCACCTTAGATAGATGCTTTGCCTTCCTGGTCACCTTATTGTGTTACAAAGCAGCCCTCTTACAGTCGAAAAGGGAAAAGGTAGTCACCACTATAAATTCTTGATTTGGGCCATAAAGGACCCAGAAGAGGGCCACGACGTGTCTGTTTCCCTCAATCTTTTGTATAACTCTCAAAGGCAGAAACTGTATCTTATGTATCTTTTTCCTCAGTGTAGAACAGTGAAGCATATTACAGTCTCAATAAATATTTGTGTAATAAATAAATTAACAAAGAGCTCATACTATGAAAGTAATCATGTCCTCAATAATTTTTTCAACATAAAATTTAAAAAAAACTTTACTGAGTTTCCAGTTTCACTTGACCCTGGGTGGCTGAGCTGGGCTGGGCTGGGCCCAGGCTCCATCTTAGTTTAGCTTGGGCTAGAAGCACAGCCCTTCAACCATCCCCAGGCCCATGCCGCATGGCTTATCGGTCTTCAGGTGGGTATAAGGACAGGGAACACTGGTATCATCTATAAGAAGAAAGGCCAAGTGCCATGGCCAGCACTTTGGGAGACTAAGGTAAGAGGATTGTCTGAGCCCACAGGTTTAAGACCAGCCTGGGCCACTTGATGAGCCCTCATTTCTACAATAAATCAAGAAAAACTAGCCAGGTATGATGGCACATGCCTGTAGTTTCAACCACTTGGAAGGTTGGGGCAGAAGGACCTCCTGAGCCCAGCAAGTCGAGGCTGCAGTGGCCGTGAGCATGCCACTACACTCCAGCCTGGGCGACAGAGTGAGACTCCAATTCAAAAAGAAAAAAAAAGAAAGAGGTTGGTTGGGCAGGACATCAGAGTGGGTAAGGCAAGTGATGGAGAGGAGCACCTGTAGGGCTGGATTGAGGGACGCGTCTTCTCTCATATTTCGGGAAAGGATTGTCTTCCAAAGGAGTGGTGAGTGGGTTTCTCAGCACAGTGGTTTCTCTGCAGGGCTGGAGCAGAAATGATCCCCTTTCCCTGATGAGTCATCACCCACCATCAGTCACCTCTCCCCGCAGGATGCATTCGTCACAGTCCCTGCTGCAAAATGAATACCAGCAAGTTTCCATGGGCCATGGGCTGGCAAATGCGCAAGACCTGCTACCGTATCGTGGAGCACAGCTGGTTTGAGAGCTTCATCATCTTCATGATCCTGCTCAGCAGTGGGTCTCTGGTAAGGGGAAGCAGATTTTCTGCTCCAAAACCCTCCAGATGGGATCCCTCACAATCCAAAGTCCCAGGAGCTGCATCAGTGGGTTCTCCCAATTCCTGGACTGAAAGTCCTCATACTGTCACCAGAAAAAGAGCTGCAGCCCAGGGTGAAGGCTCTTCTCAGCAGCAGGGCATGGAGGTTGCTTGAGGTGCCCGTGACATGGCCTTCTAAACCTGGCTGCAAGTATTTAAGGGAGTTAGTATGTACATACTTTCTACTTTATAGATGAGGACATTGAGACTCGACGGGTTTAAAAGATTTGTCCAAGATCACCCAATTTGTCAGTAAGAAAACCCAATTTGCCCTCATCTGATCCCAAAGCCCCTGACTTTCTACCTTCCACCACACAGGCCTTCAAAGAAAACCGTCCTTCCTTATCTTATCAAACATTTTCAAATGTTGCTATTACCCCTTCAAAGCTCAAAGAAAAATCATTACAATAGCATTCTCAAGATGCATATTTTGCTGGGCACAGTGGCTTATGCCTATAATCCCAGCACTAAGGGAGGTAGAGGCGAGAGGATTGCCTGAGTCCAGGGACTCGAGACCAACCTAGGCAAGTGGGCAAGACCTCACCTCTACAATAAATCAGAAAATTAGCCAGGTGTGGTGGCTCATGCCTGTAGTTCCAGCTACTTGGAAGGCTGAGGCAGAAGGATCACCTGAGCCCAGCAGGTCGTGGCTGCAGCAGCTGTGAGCATGCCACTGCACTCCAACCTAGGCAACAGAGTGAGACTTTGACTCAAAAAAACAAAGAGATACATATTCTCACTTACTAGATCTCTGGCGGGGCCTAAAAATTTACATTACCAACAAGTTCCCAGGTGATGCTGGTGCTGCCATCCATGAGCTCCACTTTGAGTAACAAGGCCCTATGGGGATAGAGATTCAAAGTTAGGAGACTCCCTCTAAGACCCTGGCTGAATGCCCAGTTTTGTAGCGCAAAGGAAGAAGATTCTCTCTATACCATGTCTTAGGCTTATTACACAACCCCAACTATTCATCTCAACAGACCATGGTAGATGTAGACACAGGAAAGGACTTATCATACCCAGTTGTATGCATTTTATAGATAAGAAATCAGAGCCCATAGATATGAGAGGCTCTGCCCAGAATCCCAGCTAATAGCTCAAGATCTAGGAGTAGGGCCCCACTCTCCTGATTCATGGCTGCTAGTGTTTTCATTTATCTTGTGCCTCATGTGTCATTGACTCCCTAAAAAGTCTACTTAATGTCTGAGTGCCTACTTAAATGCCAGATTGTCCATGGGAAGGGTGACAAAAACTGCTCAGTATGTGGCCTCAGCCTTAAGGAGGAACACAGGTGAGTGACATGGCGGAAGAGAGAAGAGGTAGGAAAACTAAGTTAGCTATGACACAAAGCCAAGGGAGAAGAGTTTTGGGGCAAGGACTGATCTGCCATCTTGGGAGAAGGGGAAGGGTGTGGCAACATCTGAAGTACCCATTACCCTGGTGCGGAGTGGTTATTGTCTACCTGAACTGTAGCACAGGGCAGAGGCCAAATTGCAGAAGCAAGAGGAGGCTAGGTAATGCTTTCTCCACATCTACTCTCCTCTCCTTCCTGTTCTCCTGGATAAAAATAATAACTACGTGTGCTGTTGACCAGGTGCTTTCCTCATTATCTCATTGGCTCATGATCCTTCTCTCTTCCTTTCTCTTCTTCATTCTCCTACATTCCCTCCCTTCTCTCTGTACTCCCCTTCTCCTCATTCTCTGTTCCACTCCCTCCATTCCTAGGAAAGAGCTCAAACCTGCAGCAGCTGCTCCAACCCCGCCCCACTCCCCAGCACCTCTTCTCTTCATGCCCATCTCCTTCCCCATGGGACTAAACAGGCTAGCACCAAATTTAGTCTTCTTTATGCTTTTACTTTCAGCCCTTTTAAAAAATAACATGAGTTTTCATCTGACAAGGTAAAGTGCAAAAAAAAAAAAAAAAGAAGAAGAAGAAGACTGGGAAATTATATTAAAAGGTAAAGAAAAAATGCCCATTTTTCTATCACTCAAAGATAAGCCACTTTGAAAACATTTTGGTATGTTTCCTTGCTATCTTTCTTATGCATAGAATGCATAAATATTACAAAAATGAAACCACATATATGTATTCTATAATCTCTCAGTAAACTTTCTCAATAAATATTTTTACACTATTGTTAATTTAAAAAGCCAAATTCTGTAAATATTTAAAGAGGCTTATTCTGAACCAAATATGAGTGACCTAGGCCCATGGCACAGTCCCAAGAAGTCCCAAGCACATATGCCTAAGGTGGTTGAATTACAGCTTGACTTTATACATTTTTAGGGAGATAGAAGCCACAGGCCAAACATAAATCAACACACATGAGATTTACATTGGAGGTGGGAGGGTAGGTTACAGGTCATAGTTGGATTCAAAGATTTTCTGATTGGCAATTGGTAGAAAGACTTAAGCTTTATTTAACAAATTTAAAATCAGTAAAAGAAATTCTTGAACTAAGATAAGGCGGACTATGAAAGTCAAGGTTCTTGTTATGTAGAAGAAGCCTCTAAGTAGCGGGCTTCAGAGAGAATAAGTGGCATATGTCTTAAAAGGTATTCTCTATAGATGCAAATTTCTCCCAAGAAACATATTTTATGGTAAAAAAATATTTTTATTTCTTTTAGGACCTGCTCTCTGTCATGTGATTCCATATCAGAGTCAGGTTGAAAATTGGTATCATATTGCCACGGAGTCTGTTTTGCCAGCCTTATGATCTCTATTTTAATGTTAATGTTAGTTGTGCCTAAATTCCACAAGGGAGGGGGTATAACAAGGTGAGTCTGACCTCCTTTTCTATTATGGCCTGGAATTCAATTTTTCAGGTTTCCCTTGGCCCAGAGGGAGTCCGTTCAGTTGGCTGGGAGCGTAAAATTTTATTTTGGGTTTACACTATCTCATTTAATGGCTGTAACCTATGTGATTATAGGAATGTTCCATAATTTATTTAATGAGCCCCTAGGTGTACTCCTACTATGCATAGAATATCCCTATGTATACTCCCTCAGAGATGTTGGATGATTTCCCATCCTAGGTTCTAGTGTTAGATGCAGAACTGGAAACTAAGAAAAATGTGAGCTCACATGAAATCCAGCCTCAGCTGATCCCCTGGAGAGCCGGAAGCATGAAAAACACTAGAGTTGTCCCACTTTGAGGCAAAAGGGATGATATTATAAACCCACATGTCAGTGTTACTGGCTGAAAGCTGCCCCAGAAGGAGGATATAACCTGCTGAGCTGTTCCCAAGGTGGTCACAGTTTCCTTCAGCCCAGTGAAGCCCTCAGAAAAAGGGGGCATCTGCATCTGGGAGCTATTAGCTGCTGACACTCCCAGCATCTGGGGGTTGGGGGTCCTAGGCCCTTAAAAAGGATCTGGGTAAGCACCAACAGCAACCAATATCTTTAGGATATGTTCTTGAAGTCAAAATAGCTGGGTTTCTGGAATCTTTGAGTCATCTTACCAATTTGGCTTCCCACAAGACTGGCCTGGTTTTCACTCCCACCAGTCACTCATAAGATGGCAGCTCCGCACAGCCACACCAACACTGGGGTTTCCCCCTATCCATTCTCATTTCCAACAGTCTGATAAAAGAAAAACCAGTATCTTTTCATTTGATTTTCCTTGATTGCCAGTGAAGTAGAACATTCTTTCTCAGAGGTTTGTTGGCAATTTTTACTTTCATTTTTTGTGAACTGCCCGTGAACATCCTTTGATGCTTTTATTTTTAAACCAAGTCACTGTTAACATCCCTTTGGTTTGCTTCCAAAGTCCAATTTGAGAAGGTTTTCTTTCTCACTTGCATTCAGCAGCCCTGCAAAGTAACAGCGGGCTGTGTGTCCCTGCTGGCCCTGAGGAAGCCCTGAAACAATCATTCTTTGTATCTCACAGTGCCTCCTACACTATTCTACCTTACTTCCTCAGAGCAGAGGGGAAAAAAATGCCACGGGCAAACTGGCTCCCAAAGTCATTCCCAGGACCTGTGGGCAGGACTGGCTGGGTCCTTCACTGTCGGTCTGGGCCTCAGTGCTGTGGGTTCAGGTAGCTTGCCATTCTTCTCCCTTCCTTCCAGGCCTTTGAAGACTATTACTTGGACCAGAAGCCCACAGTGAAAGCTTTGCTGGAGTATACCGACAGGGTGTTCACCTTTATCTTTGTGTTCGAGATGCTGCTCAAGTGGGTAGCCTATGGCTTCAAAAAGTACTTCACCAACGCCTGGTGCTGGCTGGACTTCCTCATTGTGAATGTGAGTGGTTCAGTGGGCATACATAGGATTTGGGGGTCCTCTTCTCTGACTGATGGCTATAGCTAGTGTGGAGGAAACGCAAAGATATGGCCCCTAAGGGCTACCCCAAAGAAAAGCTTTGAGCCAGGCATGGTGGCTCATACCTGTGATTCCAGCACTTTGGGAGGCAGAGGCGAGAGGATTCCCTGAGTTCAGGGGATCGAGACTAGCCTGGGCAACTTGGTGAGACCTCATTTCTACAATAAATCAAAAAATTAGCCTGGCACGGTGGCGTGCACCTGTAGTTCCAGCTACTTGGAAAGCTGAAGTGGAAGGATCGCCTGAGTCCAGCAAGTTGAGGCTGCAGTGGCCATGAGTGTCCCACTGCACTCCAGCCTGGGTGACAAAGTGAGACTCCAACTCAAAGAAAAGGAAAAGAAAAACTTTGAGCAGTTAGCAAGGAGTCTTAGACTACCCCTGCACACCTGTGAGTGATAAGGTCCAGGCAATATACGATTCTGACACAAGCTGATCCTTAAGTGAGTCCTCAGTTCTTAGACCTCCATCCAGAAAGACCATTGCAGTCCTCTGCATTTTTATGTCTAAAGCAAGATGACACATGAGGTTCTCAGAAGTCTTATGGCCTTGCATCCACTGACAGGGCTTCTGGACCAAGGGGAGCCATGGCCTGTGAACATAGAGAATCTGTCCACCTGCAGACTTCACGGTCCTCAGCCCTGGCTGCACTTTAGAATCACCTGAGAAGCTTTAAAAAAGTTGAAGAAACAATGAACAAACACCACCATTCCAGAGATTCTGACCTTACTGGTCTTTGGTCGTGCCCAGGCACAAGTATTTTGTAAAAAAACTCCCAGGTATTTCCAATGTGCAGCCATGTTTGAGAACCACAGAGCTTATTTCACTGGTTGTTCTCCAGTGTCACTGAAAGGAACAGAAGATCCCTTTGGAGAGGCAATGAGTTGAAGCTCATGTGTTCAGGCTCACATTAAACTGGCCATTAACTCCTCCATTAGGGAATTTACTACGTGCTTCCCACACATTAGACATGCAATTCCTCAGAGTCATCTCTCCCTCATCTTCACCACTACATTGTTCTACCTCTGTCTAGGCCATTACCCTATTGGCTTTGCAACATGGCTACATGGGTTATTTATTCACTGCTACATAGCTGAGGGCTCTTGCAAGCAGGGTGAGGCATGGGCTGGATTTGTCTCTGCCTCTCTCACTCTAGCAGCCTCCAGCACCAAGGTCTGTACATCAGAGGTGTCAGGAAATGTGTCTGTGTTTGGTGCTTGCCTCCTGAAGTTGGACAGGGTCCAGTACAGAACATTCTGTCCAGCCTCCTATGTTGGCAGATCCTCCACAGCAGGCCTGTGCCTTCAATTCTATTCTTTCCTGATGCCAGTGTGCTAGCAGCATCAGGCCACTATACCACAGGGATTAGCTGGGAGGCCTGAAATCTGAGTCACAGGTGATAATTTTATGCATATAAAATAATTATTCATAAATGAAGGGAAAATGTAGTCTTCTGGCTTCCCATCCCTGTTAGGGGCACAGTCACTCCTATCTATGTAGGTCTCACTGGTTTCAGTCCTAATCACCTTAAATGATCACCCACTCATTACATTCATACTTCTACTGATTCTTCCAACTATCAGCCCTTCCTTCCATACATTTTTCCTTTTGTCTATCGAACCATTCAACCTTCCTTTTTTCTTTACCACAATTATCCATTTATCCCACAATTATACCACAATTATCACCTTTACTTCTTTTATACGTCCTTCTCTATCAGTCTGCTCTTTCTACCCATCCATTTTCAGTTTTCTTTCCCTTTTCCCTTCTGCCCTTTCATCCATTGGTCTTTAACTCTTATAGCTTTCCCTCTTTTGTTTCATCCTTCTATCCAGTCATCTAACCTTCTGTTCACCTTTCACGCATCTTCCAGTAAAGCATCCTTCTATTCATTTATCCTTCTGTTGCCAGGTGGGGCAGGTGTGACACTTGGTGGGTTCTTTGACCCACCACAGAAAAGCATTTCAGAGTGAATTAAGTATAATTTTAAAACACAATTTATCAGGGGAGGGCCATGACTGACAGGCATGGGTGTCCTAAGAGAAAGAACAAAATTTTGCTTTTGACAAGAAGCTTGATATACTTATACAATGATTATTATGCCAATCATGAGCTAGAAGAAGGACAGTATGTATCTGGTCCCAAGTTTTGATTACCATCTCTCCACCTTTGTTGAGCTAAGGGATGGACTTTTCCTGAATCCACATTTTGCCTCTGACAGGAAACTTGATAGAGTTTTATAGAAATTATGCTAACTATGAGCTAAAATGTGGGTTGATTACCATCTGTCCACCTTTGATGGGCTTTCCTGCATGCACTTTTTTTTTTTTTACAATAACTATTATGCTACCCATGAACTAAAAGGGTGGGCTATACTGGTAAGTCCACATTCTAGCCTGCAGGGTGCAAGAAACTTCTCTATGTCTATCCCACATTAAATAACCTGCTTCTCTTCTGTTCATCCTTGCTTCCATCTTTCCATTCTTCTTTAACCCATTCAACTCTCTTTCCTTTCTTCCACTTATCTATTCATTCATTCTTTTCACTTCTATTCATCCATTCATTCAATCAGCCTTTCAATCATTCACTTATTCTTTCATCCATGTATTCTATTCATCTCTTTATATTTTCATTTATCTACTAGTCATTATTCCCAACTATTCATCCATCTTCCCACATCCATCCATCCCATCCATCCATTCACTGTCCTTTGCTTCTATAATTTTTCCTTTCTTCTTTGACTTTTTTATTCTTCCATTCAACTATTTTTCCTGTTACTTTTTGTCTCTGTGATTTTTTATTTTATTTTATTTTACTTTACACATTTTACTTTTTATTTCATTTTACTTTATTTTATTATTTTATTTTATTTATCTGTCACCCAGCCCAGGCACAACCTGCTGGGCTTAGGTGGTCCTTTAGCCTCAACCTTCCAAGTAGCTAAAACTACAGGTGCGTGCCATCACACCTGGCTAATTTTTTTTATTTATTTATTGTAGAGACAAGGTCTTGCCTTGTTGCCCAGGCTGGTCTCAAGCCCTTGGACTCAATCCTCTCACCTCCAGCTCCCAAAGTGCTGAGATTACAGGTGTGAGCCACCACACCTGACTATTTATTTTTAAAATAAATATTATTGTGTATATTTAAGATATACAACATAATGCTATAAACTACATATATATAGCAAAATGGTTACTATAGTGAAACATATTAACATATCCATCGTCTCTCATGGTCACTCATTTTCGCCAATGGCAAAAGTAGCTATAGCTCATTTAGTAAAAATCCTGAATATAATACACTATTAATAACTATAGTCCTCATGTTGTATATTAGATCTATCTTATCCATCTTTGCATCCTCAAATCCATTCTTCTACCCAATCTTCCTTCAACTTTCTATCCAGTCATTCTTCCCTCCTTCTTTCCTTCCTTTTTTTTTGAGTCAAACTCTTTCTCTATCACCCAGGCTGGAGTGCAATGACACGCTCACAGTCACCTCAGCTTCAACCTACTGGGCTCAGGAGATCCTTCCACCTCAGCCTTCCAAGTAGCTGAAGCTACAAGTGCATGCCACCATGCCCGGCTAATTTTTTTATTTATTGTAGAGATGAGGCCTCACCAAGTTACCCAGGCTGGCCTCGAACCTGTGGGCTCAGGCAATCCTCTCACTCTGCATCCCAATGTGCTGGGATTACAGGCATGAGTCACCGCTCCCAGCTTTTTCCCTCCTTTTATCCATCCCAACATGTTTCTACCTTTTCTTCCACTTATCAAATGTCTATTTATAACTACTGAATGCAAGATTGTCTTATGCAGTGCTCTAGAAAAGACAGAACATGAAATAAATACTCCCTACTTCCAAAAGTTTACATTTTAGTCTTCCTGCAGACAAGACATAAACAGAAATAAATACAGTACTGCTGGGGACTGTTAGTGTCTTGGGGACAGAGACACAAGCCTTCTTCCACTCCTGAGGTAAGGTCGTTGAGAAACCTTCCTACAGCAAGTGGCATCAAATGTGGGGCATAGACACGAACAGGAGCAAAGAGGTTAAAAGAGGACTGAGAAAGGCCAATCATAGCTAAAAGGTCCCTGAGCAAAGGCCCAAACACAAATGTGTTCAGGGAACAATCTGATTTGGGTAGACTGTATGGGTGAAATGTGACTAGAAAAGTAAACTGTGATCATATTACACAGGCTAAGGAGTCTAGGGATTATCCTAAGTGTGTTAAAGCACCAGTGATGGTTGGGAGTGAGAGAGATAGGGTCATAAGCAGATTTGCAGTGGAGAATTGAAGAATGGATGCAATACTAGGACCCTGAGACCAGCTGGGAGGCTAATGGCTTGAGCAATGGAAGTGGAGCTAGGCTTGGGTGTGTGGCCTTTGCCAACCCCTGTCTTCCCCAGCTGCAGATTTTCTACACGGGGCAACCTTTCCAGTGGGCTAAGAAAAAGACTGAATAGGGCCCAACATGGAACTGACCCCGACCAAAACTTCCTGCCCTCAGCCAGCCATGCAACTGGGTGTCACCTGCTGGTGTCTAGAGCCTTGCATGAAGTAAGGGGGTCTTTTCCACTCCACTTCTTTGTGCTAGTGGAACAAACCACCCATTCAGAGGATGAGCATTGTCTGATGCTCTAACACCCCGGTGTAAAGCCCTCCCTCTCTGAAGTTCCTGTGTATATCCCACCTAGCTGTCAGGATGAGTGGACCTGGATTCCGTCCACCCTCCACAGCACAACTGGGGTCTCACAAGATTGGGTCATGACTTCCATCAGGCTCCAGCCTACACATATGATATCTCCTGGTACCTTCAAAGTTCCAAGAAGAGGTGACCATTTTTCCATGTCAGTTTGTGTCCTCTGAAGTCCTTGTACTGCCACCTAAAGACAGCTGACACACCAACCGGGGCTCACAACTCAGTCATTATATCACAGATATCTATCATGGCTAGATCTCATGGACCCGTGCCAGGCACTGTTTTTGAAGAAATGTAGAGCTATGAGAACGTTAGAACTTTTTTATTCCGACTTCCTCATTTTACAAAGGACACTGACCCAAGGTCACAAAAAAGCAGGGATTAGGGATTGAGAAGAATAACTAGACTCCACCCAGACCAGGATTCTTTTCACCCCACTTTTCTGAGCAAATATAATTGAAACTTTGTATTCTCCTCAAAATAGACTCAGCAGAGCCCCCATGAGGGAACATCATCTCTCCAATACTCCCAGAGTCAAAGTTTCAAGGTTCTTGGGGCCCAGCTGCTGCCCCTAAAAGGGAAAGAAAGGGTTGATCTAGCACACTGGGAATTTGGCCTCCTACAGGCCAAGGGGTGGTGATGTGGGAAACTGAGTCTTCCTTGCCCAGATGTTCAAAGAGTGATGAATAGAATATTTAATAAAGGGCAGGGACTGAACTCTTTCTAGATCTCCCACTGGAGTTCAGAATAGGGTGGGAGATAGGACAATGGCTTAGGCAGAGTAGGGGTGGGAGGCTGGGCAGAGATTTCCTTTCTTCTTTTACTCAGGCTGCTTTTCAGGAACTCTCAGCTGATGCTTTTGCTCTCTCCTGCACTCAGATCTCACTGACAAGCCTCACAGCGAAGATGCTGGAATATTCTGATATGGCTTCCATCAAAGCCCTCCGGACTCTCCGTGCCCTGCGGCCACTGAGGGCTCTGTCTCGATTTGAAGGCATGCGGGTAAGACGAATCTCAACACTTACCTGGTCTGCAGCATTTGGTAACACTTCCTTCCCCCTTTAAGCCTTCCATACCAACAACCCCAAGCTTCAGGCCCCACCACCAAAGGTCAGTTCAGAGTCTTCACTTCCTCCTCTGACTTTGGTGGCAACACATGACCTAACTCTCTCAGGTCCCTTTGTGAACCCTTCTTCCTTTGTCACCCATACACATCACAGCCACCAGGACTCAGACCTCACTCCCTTTGCTTTTAGCCAAGTGAGACTGATTCATGACTTCACAAGCATCTGTTATTTCAATCTCACAGCTCGGCCTCTTATTCTTATTACCAACTGGAGTTCTCCATCTTTCCATGACAAATGAGTTTTTCCCCTAACACTTCATTAAATGTAGTGACATCATCAGCTCAGAATTTCAGCCACCACCCACTGGAAGGCCTCTTCTCTCCA